GGGCCCGGCGGGGGAGGGATGGGGACTTTGCGTCACCTTGGTGGTCCCTAGGAGGACTCAACCACAGAATCCAAAACTTCCTGTCATGAATGGCATTTTCTTACATCATAAATGAAATTGCTACCAATTAAACCCTTATATGGGTTGATTTTTTATAGTGCACCTCTTCTCTGGAACACCGTACAAGAGTATAAAGTGTATATGCAAATGTCTGAGGAATCTGGGCCTCCCTGTGAAATGAGTTGAAATGAATCTGTGAAATGAGTTGGAATGCTTTAACATCCTGATATTACAAGTACATTTCAATAGTAAGATTAGGTGTGTTCCATTGAGATCAACAGTCGCCAACCCAAAACAAATGGTGTATCTTATTTTATAAATTAGACAGGAATTGTGGCCCTAGACACAATACATTTTTATCTAAATGTGTGGGGGTTTTTAAGTTTATAATTTTTACTATTGATTTTCAATGTCATATTTATCTCTCCTCACCCCTACCTTTTTCTGACTTATTTAGTCTTTATTATTCAGCAAACAACTTGTTGGTGATATGTTTGGCTACTCATTCCCATGCCCCACCTCCAAATTAAATCTCTGTTTTTAAAACAATCACCCACACTCAATCTTTTGTCATTTTCTACTTTTTCCAGAGTTCATTTTTTTATTCCTCCTAATGTCAGTAGCCAGCCCTTCCTGCCCCGAGCCTTCACATCTCAAGGCGTCACACCAATGGCTACAAATGAGTTTCCAATCTAAGTAAAGAAAACGCTGGTACCAGAGGAGCAAAGTGTGGTTAACTGACTCACCCTAAAACCTTTATCGTATGTTGAAGACAAAAAATAAAGTTAAAACGCTTCAATACATGTCTAACCTATTCAACCTATTCTGCAACTAGGTCTTGATAATTCAACCTTTTTGGTTCCTGCAAACGACAGCCTGAAAACCCGAACGTGCTACTTGCTCACAGGGTTTTCCTCCTGCGCGTCTAAGGCCTTTGCCTCCCGTCTTTTTCGCAGTGGTCAGTGTACATCCGAGCCGCCGTCCGGAAGGAGAAAGGCCTGCCCATCCTCGTGGAGCTGCTCCGGATAGACAACGACCGCGTGGTGTGCGCCGTGGCCACGGCGCTCCGCAACATGGCCCTGGATGTCCGAAATAAGGAGCTCATTGGTATGTTCTGTCCGATTCATAGAGTCCCTGTTTATAAAAACGAGAATATTTCCCGGTGGGGTCCACGTGGTTGAATCCACATGCAGAACATATGTGCATGCAGAAGTAGTGCATTTATTAGGGGCTGTGTTTTTCCCCGGTTCTCCTAGTTTAAATCCAAAGACCTGATTTCTCTTTCAGAATTCATAGGAAAATGTGATGTTTGTTAGCATTTCTTATCCCCGCAAATTACAAACGACCACAATGCTCAGCACTGGATACCATCTTCCCATCCTTTAAATTCCTGTAGAGTTCTTTGTTTGCTTCCCACCTGGTGAGCAGGGATTGTAATGGGATCCACACCACTTTGCTTCTCCTCTCGATTTTTTAATTTATTTTGGATGAGACCATACTGACTCTTTAATCCTATTGTTTAGAGAATCCTCTTTCTTGAATTTGGTATTTAAGAAACAGGAAGGATCTTTTATTAATGAACATTAAAAAGGTCATACGTTCATCTAGATATTCAGCAAATATATATCCATGAACTACAATGTTCCAGGCCTGTTCTAGGCCCAGAGATTATTTCATCAATGAGCAAAACAGACAGGAAGTCTTGCCCTTGTGGAGTTTACCTTCAGGAGAGGGGATATGTACAATAAACAAAATCCACACATGAATCCCATTGTGTGTTAGGGACGTTCTGTGGGGAGGAATGGATCTGGGTAAAAAGGACAATAATTGGTGAGGTTGCCAATTTTTTAATTGTAGTGAAGTTCCCAGAACATAAAATTAACCATTTTAAAGTATACCACTTTGGTGGCATTATTTTCGCAGTGTTGTACAAACAACAGTGCGTCATCACTGGATTCCAAAACATGTTCATCATCCTAAGGACTGTCCTGTACCCGCTGAGCGGTCACCCTCCTTCCCCCTCCTCCCAGCTGCGGCACTCACCAGTGTGTGTTCTGTTTCTGTGGATTTTCCTATTCGGGAAGTTTCGTGCAAATGGAATTATGTAATATATGAGGTTATGTGTTTGGCTTCTTTCACTTAGCATAAGGAGTTGTGATTTTAAATGGGAGGTCGAGGTCAAGAGAGGAGTTGTTGGGAAGGTAACATTTGAGCCTATACTTGAAGGAGGTGAGAGTGAGACGTGGATATTTGGGGGAAAGAACATCTAAGTCGAAGGAGCTGCCTTTGCAGAAGGCCCCCTAGAAGGGGAGCTGGGAGCAAGCCAGAGGGTTCAAGGCCTTCAAGGGACCTCGTGTGCTTGGGACAGAGTCAGTGGTAGGAGCCCAGGCTGGAGAGGACTCCTGGTTCCTCCCTCCATAGGTGGGAAGATGTGTAGGCCAAGGCTGGTTGATGCCTAGAGAACTAATGAACCACAGGAACCTACCTGGGAAGAGGCACAAGTCTTCCACAGACCATGGTCCTAATATAGGCATCTGGGATCAAAGAGATCATTCCAAAGGGTCATTGGTCAGTCAGTGCAGCAGGAAGCCTGGCAAGCCTGAATGCAGGTAACAGGCGTCAATGGAGGTCAAGCAGGGAGCTAGACCACCCACTGTGCCAAGGGTTCAGAGTATATAGCCTCTGGAGATCTGGGAGAAAGCAGGTGAGTGCACAAAGGGGCAAGATTTCATTTCTGGGGCAGTTGTAATACTAGGTTTGAAACCAAATTTCATACACAAATTTTACACAGATACATGAGTCCACTTTTGCTATTCAAATTCCTGAGCGTAGGCCCTTTGCATTTTTTTTCCTGCCATATCACAGTAGTCATCATATCTTCCAATAAAAAACAAAGTTTTTGCAGGTCACCAGCCATGTACTTATTCACAAGAAAACCAGACTTCAAAATTGGTATCTAATACATCAAATTATTTGTTATACTTGCATGAAGCAAACACAGTTTGATATTTATGTTTAATTTGAATTTAATTTAAATACTTGTGGATTTTGTAAAGTATTGAAACTAGGCCATTAGCTCAAAAGGTCAGAATATTCTCTCCCCGTCTACTCTTCTTTTCCTTACATAGTTGTTTCTGATAAAATCCCGCTGTTCCTCTAGAAAAATGGAGGGAAAATCAATAGCTAATCAGTTTGTACTGCCTGGATACTCACTACTTGATATTGTAAGTTTGAGTGTTTTATTTCTTTTGGTGGATTAAAATATTACAAAATAGGGAACTATTAATTGGTTTTCTAGCTTCTAGGCATCCCTCCTTTCTCAGAAGCCAGTTATCTAGCACTCTTTCGGGGGCAGGAACATTTGGAGCTCCATATTGCCCACATTAAATTAAGCATTTACTATTAAATGTCACCAGACAGGAAATGAAGCCAATCAATTAAAAATAGAAGTGACAATATCTAAGTCACAGGCTTTATGGAATTAATAACTTTTTTCTTGAATGAGAAAAGCAGAAATTAACAACAAAAAGCGCACCATTATATTCTATCTAGGAGAAAGGAAATGTGAGCTTTGATAATTCTTTTACTTTAGATACTCTGTCAAAGTAGTGATTTTTATAGAAAAATGCTACATAGAATTTATATATTGAAAAGAAAGTTGCAATGACTTTGAACCAAGAACAAAAACAATAAACTTCTATATCTTCTCTTTTCTACCAAGTCTCACTCAAAGCTTTGGTGACTTGATATAACTTCATGGTGTTGAAGATCATCTATATCCTGACAACTCCAAATAGATATCTCTGGCATGAATCCCACATCTCCATGCCTAATATCTGCACTGGATGTCTGACAGGCATCTCAAGTATAACATCTCCAGACCCGAGTTCCTTATCTTCTCCCCAAACCTGATCCTTCCATAGTCTTCCCTACAACAGCGAATAGCCATTTGTCCTTGCAGTGGTCCAGGCCAGGCACCTTGCAGTCCCCTTTGACTCCTCACCCTTAGATCCAATCCATCAACAAATCTCATCTTCCTTCTGTATTTTCTCAGAATCTGTCACTTCTCACCTTCATTGCTTTTTTCCCCAACCTCCTATCGCCTCTCACCAGGATTATTACCATGGCCATCTACCTGTCTCCATGCTCCTACTCTCACCCCCTACAGTCTACTCTCAATGCAGAAACCAGGGTGTTCCTGTTAAAACCTTAGAACATGTCATTTCTGCAATGAAAAGCCCCAGTAGTTCCTCATCTCTCTCAGTGTAAAATGAAGGCTTTTAAGGAAAATACAACTCTGCATGATACAACTCTCTGTTCCCCCTCTAACCTCACCCTCTCACCCCTCGCTGTCACTAACTTGGCTGAGGCTACTGGGTCACTATGGTTCCCTTATGACATGAGTACAATCCATCCTGCCTCAGGGCCTTTGAACTTGCTGTTCCCTCCATCTAGACTCCTCTTTCTCCAGGTATCTTTGCGCCTCAGTTCTTACCCCACTCAGGTCTTTACTCAAGTGCCAATTTCCCAACAGAACCTTTTCTGGCCTCCATATTTAAAATTCTACCCCCAACTCCTTTTCTGCTTTATTTTTTCCCACAGTACTGGTCACCTTCTAATATACAACATATTATTCACTTATCTTGTTACCTGTCCATCTCCCCACTAGAATGGAAGCCCGTTAAGGGCAGGAAGTTCCATCTCATTTGTTCAGTGATGTAACCCATGTACCTAGAAGAGCACTTGATCCACAGTGGGAACATCATAAATATTTGCCGAATGACTGAACTAAAATTTTTCCTGTCTTACCATCATTTTGAAATGAATTCCAAATCAGCAAATTAAGTAGGCAAATTACATAAAACATCAACTGAAGGAAAGGAGTTTATACCAGTGAAGGAAATCATCGAAACACCAGTTCATTTTCCTACTGAAGTTTACCAGATGTACGCAGACACTCGGGCTTTCAGGAGGAACCCAGGTCCTCCCATCACTGGCTCTGGGGTTTCACTTTAAATCACATCTCTTCTTAGGTCATTCTTTTAGTTTGGGGTGGGGGAGGAGCAGCTACCACACCCGGGTTAGCGAATGGCTTATCTTCTTGGACTCCATTATCAGGAAAACTCCAGATAAGCTGTTGAACAATCATCACCCTACCTCACCAGCTCTAAGGAGGGTCATATAGTAGCACTAAGAGGAATGTCACACTCTCTGTCTCTCCTGTGTCTTCCGACTTTGCCTGTTCCCATGATTCTGTGCATGTCGCAGCTATTGGGTGGGCGGTGAGTCTATAGATAGATCCTTGTGTACTGAGTGACTTGGCGCAGTTGTACAGCTTAATGCATATCCATACTTTTTTTTGCAACCTTCTGAAAATATTAATTATCCTTCCGAATAAAGTGTCATCTCATCATCAGAAAGGGGTTTTTTTTGTTGTTTGTTTTTAAATTAATGGTAATAATTAGCTTCAGTAAAAAGAGCTAACAATATTATATCATTTTAACCAATTTAGCAAAATGCCACCCATTTCAGCAAGTTGACAGTTCCTGATGAAGATGGCAGATATTTATTTTAGCCAAATCCCCACCCTTTCTGCCAACAAAACAAACAAAACTCCAATAAAATTTATTTAAAAACCTTAAAGCACGTATAAACAATAGAGAGGAGAAATATCTAACACTCTCCAAGCATTGGTCGATAACCTATGGCTGCCCATCCATGGAAAATCATCCTAAAGAGAGCAGTTTCACCCTGTGTGCTGTTTTGTGCATTTGCAGACAGCATAGACAATCAGAAGACTGTATCAAAGTAGCTACAAAGTAGAACACGGGCACCACACGTACACTTTCCCAATATGTAAGATGATCTGTTCCCTGAATGCCTTGGCATCACCCTGGAGGTGCTCTCCATGCTCCCCCCAAACTGCCCCTTATCTCTAACTGTGCTTTTCATGAATTCTCCAGCCACACCAGTGTCTGTACCATCATTCCCGCTCACAAACCTCTGCCCCAGCTGTTTCTTCCTAGCTCTTTACTCACTGACCCCCACCCACCACCAATGCCCAGCTCCAGATGGCCTTCCTGCTGAAGGTTGCTCTTTGAACTCAG